GCTGCGCGAGATCCGGCGCTACCAGAAGTCGACGGAGCTGCTGATCCGCAAGCTGCCCTTCCAGCGCCTGGTGCGCGAGATCGCGCAGGACTTCAAGACCGACCTGCGCTTCCAGAGCTCGGCCGTCATGGCTCTGCAGGAGGCCAGCGAGGCCTACCTGGTGGGGCTCTTCGAAGACACCAACCTGTGTGCCATCCACGCCAAGCGCGTCACCATCATGCCCAAGGACATCCAGCTCGCCCGCCGCATCCGCGGAGAGCGTGCTTAAGTCTCCTGCCGCAGCCCTTCTCTGGCAAGGCACGGAGGAAGCCCATACAGACCCAAAGGCTCTTTTAAGAGCCCCTACGTGCTCAATAAAAAGAGCTGTATTGCTTATGAAAACCTCTGTAGAATTACCGTGGATGTAGAGAAGGGGCAGGTCCGAGCGAGCAAATGTCCATATAGTGGTCTTAGGACGATAATATGTGTGAGAGCTACTACATGATCTTATTAAAGTATATGCCTAAGTTAAAGCTTTTTAAACTATCCTTGTAAGTAATTTTCCTGTTGCAGTTTTTTCTTGACACAGCCAAAGATTTAAAAGTGCAGAGTGTCTCTTTGCTAATCACCCCCACGTCTTCTCCCTCGAGGGTGTGTCGAGTCAGCCAGTCACAGGGATGTAAATTCCTCCATTCTGAGGCCCTCTGCTTGCCCCTCTTAAACGAATATATTAACCTCACATTTCGTCTTCGATGTTGTCTCTCTTCCCCACCTCGTTTTCATAGAGCACCTTTTACACTCCTCCAGTAGTTGCAAAGGACTGCAGACGAATTGCAAAGAAAATTTAGAGCTTTACATGGTTTATAAAAGGTAACTGTCTACGAGCAGGATGCTCAGTAAAATGAGACACTAAAAAAAAAAAAGTCAAACCTTGAAGTCTACAAAATATAACATAACCCTGGTTCTTTCAAAGCAGCACTACAGGTCTTTTCATTGTGCACTCAGTGGCTCTTAAAACAGCCTTTTGGTCTGCCTGGATGCTGGGGAAGGGCTGTGGCTCTTTTTAGAGCCACCAATTCTTTCATTTCCAGATTACTCACTTGTCTTTTCTGTCAGTTTTAACTTTTCGGACCCCTATGTCTTTCTAGGTCTTTCAAGTCCCACTTGTATAGTATCCTTTGGAAACAGTTTTTACATCAGTAGTTGCAGTTTTTCGTGTATTTCTGAGGGCCCGATACTGCAATACGTGAAGTAACAGAAGTTTCAAAAACTTCCGTAAGGGAGCAGCAGGGGCTAAGAAATCACTTTAAATGAATACAATTCAGTTCTGAAGACATTAAACTATTAGTGGGATCTTTAGAATAATAAAACGAATTACTAGCAAACAGTTTAAGTAATCATTTAAGACATATACTTACAAGACCTCGTTTCCTCAGATTGGGAAGACCAACTAACTATAGGTCTTAAAAAAGAGCCGGGGAGAAACCAAATTAACAGCAAGCAGGATGTTACAGCTGGGGTACCCACAGAGAGCTGGCAACTGAAGCAGTCCATGTACAACAGGTAAACCCTGCCAGAGAGAGCACTCAAGATACAAGCGTGAAAACTGCTAATAGGCTGTCCAGTTTTTGTTAACACTGAACTATTTAAATCGCTAAACTGAACGTTGCCAACTGATTAAACTAAATAGTACGCTTTAAGTAAAGCTGCAAAAAAATTACAGAAATTAAAGCTCTTTTTACTGAAAACTTGGGTGGCTCTTAAAAGAGCCTTTGGGTTAAACAGTATTTCGAGCAGGTTTTTACTTGGAGCTGGTGTACTTGGTGACAGCCTTGGTGCCCTCGGAGACGGCGTGCTTGGCCAGCTCGCCGGGCAGCAGCAGCCGCACGGCCGTCTGGATCTCGCGCGACGTGATGGTGGAACGCTTGTTGTAGTGCGCCAGGCGAGACGCCTCGCCGGCGATGCGCTCGAAGATGTCGTTGACGAAGGAGTTCATGATGCCCATGGCCTTAGAGGAGATACCCGTGTCGGGGTGCACCTGCTTCAGCACCTTGTACACGTAGATGGAGTAGCTCTCCTTGCGGCTCTTCTTGCGCTTCTTGTCGCCTTTCTTCTGCGTCTTGGTCACCGCCTTCTTGGAGCCTTTCTTAGGCG